AACATATTTTGCCATTTAGTTAGCATATAAATTATAAATCCGCTGAATGCGCTCTAGATCTTAGGTATTTGGTAAGGCGTTCACGGCCCGCTTCCTCTGGTTTCGTTACGCAACCATAATACCCAAAGTCGTGGTGGCGACCAAATAAAATGACCAGAACTGAATGAACTGATCCAGAGCTGGATTATTTAGCACTAGCGCTTGCGAAATGATGTGTGGCGAAATATAGAAGCAGGATTTACGGTGCGCCAGCCGCCGCCGAGGTATTTGAGCTTAACGCCACTATTACATGCAAGCGCTAGTAGTGAACTTTCCTGTCGTTTTCGGTATCACACTATTTCATGATTAGCCGGGCAACCGTACTATTTAGTATTTACTATTTACCTTAAATCGCGGGAGAAACCGAACAAAACGTTCGGTTACATTTTGTATGGGTTATGTTAGGTTAATATTTCGTATAACCCGTGTTTATTGTTTTTTTTTCGTCTGCTACGACGGCCTACCTACATTGGATCACACTCACAGCGTTCAGTGGCAACAAACGGATGAAACGTTCTTGACGAAATTGTGATATTTGATGTCATATTCATTGGTCACAGATAAATTAGTAAAACAAACCTTTTCGTCAAACTCACGGTCGTCTTTGTTACATGTAAGTATTTTGATTTGATCCACTGAATAAATATTGGCGGGAGTGAAATTATTAGTCATTAGAATGTTAATTATGTATCAAAATACTTAAATGAAACAAAAAATGAATCAAATAATGCTGTATTATGATACTAATTGCCGTTCTTATAATGTCCAGTTAAAGTTAACGGACACTTAACAGGCGATAATTTTGCCGATAGTAAAATCTGTTGTTGAGTTAACCTAAACTTAACAGGACATTGTTAGAATCAGCCCAAGATTGCTTGAAATGTAAAAACATCTGCACTACCAAATATAAATAAATATTGTCTTTTACTATATTCGTGTACCTACACTTTGTATACAAATTTGTTCACTCCAAGGGCATCCGCACGGTGTGCGAGTAGGGATATTTTTTTTAGGTAAATTATCGTCAAGCCGGCATAGCCAGACCAAATCACCAGGTGGGGCAAACAACATTTTAGGTTGGACATTAGAAATAAAAGCCCTACATAATACATATTATGCATATTTAATTCTGGTTTTAGTGTGGTTGGGCAATGCCCCTCCATGGCTGTGGTCCTGATTATCTTATAAAATATCATACATTTTTTCCTTCAAATATTTAATTTTATGATAAGGCTACTACTAGCTGCTGGTTACAGCTGTAAACATTAATAATTTATATTAGATAAAAGGAACCGTTTTTTTGACATTATTTTTTGATTGTTTTCTTGTTTTTTTATAACTAGTGATTAATTTTTACAGTAGTTTGTTTCTAAAATTATTCTTGGCAACACTCTAGAGACTTAAGTTCTCAATTCATTAAAATGATTTGGTTGTTTTTGCATTAACATCTATCATATTTATTTTATAGAAGCTTGAAACATTTAATTTTATAAATAACCCAAAATCATCAAGTCAATGGTGTCATTTTATTTATAAAGAAATGCATTTTAAATTTTAACTTGCCTTTTAATTAATTAAAATGAGTGATGTGTGATTAATTTTTTTATCTACATATTTTAATTCATAAATAATTTTTACATTCCTTACCTATATGAAAGAAAACACACCACAAACAATACTTATTCACTAATCAGAATATCAGATAGTAAAACAAAAATTTAAAAATTTAAAATGTTTGCCTCCCTCTTGACAAATTTCTGAGGGCGCCCATGACAAGGCCCAAGGATATTAAAGTTTTAGGTAGTTCTATTCAGTGGATATCTGTTTGTCTAACTGTATTATGATTCGATAAAGTGCATAATTCTTGTGTTGATCATAGTGAAGTATTTCAACCTTTCTACCTATTAATTATTATTAAGCTAAACAAGATGCTTCATATTATTTTCCTTCTTCTAAATAGTATTACTTTACAAATTCATATTTAGGAGCACATTTATTTGATAATTGTTTACAATTTTCCATTTTTTATTTACTTAAGAAAAAATAAATATTTTTAATAATGAAAGTAATCGGTAACTAGATAATAAACTTACCTTTAAATTGTATAATAGGTCAATTCACTCTAATATCAAAACTTACAGCTCACTGTTGAATCTGGTGAATGGACATTTGCTATAAGCGACGTCCTCTCAACACAGATATTGTGTGCTTTAAACTTTACTTTATAAACTTAATTTAACATTTAAGTATTAACCACGGAATATATTTCATTAGGTATATGGTTACTGTTTAAAATGTTGCCTACATTCATTTGTTTTTACTGTAAACACAACAATGATTACCTACTTAACATAATAATAATATTTATTTTAATATTTGGATATTTTCAATGATCAACAAATGTAAATACAAATTAGAACATAGAAATGATATAATAGATCAATTATGTTAATCCATAGGTAATTATAGGTAGTTAGTTAAATGATTACATAGAACATTATTTTCATAAATGAAATATGTTTTATTTACAACATAAAGACACATAATGCATATTATACAAGTTATTAAAGAAATAATTAATTTATGGTTAATTTATAATTTAGTTACTGGTATTGATTAACAACATAAATAAAACATATTTAATTGTAAAAAAAATCTATTTATTAAATTACAATACATCAAAATGATTATAAAATTAGTACAATTACTTAATATTGCTTTTGCATACCTATGCTATAAAATTGTTAACTTTCTGTTTTTAATTTTTTTTTCAGGTACCAAATTGGTATTTATAAATTCCATTGAAGAACAAATTCTAAGACACGAAAAAAATGTAAGTAGTTAATCCTTTTTAATGTTGTAAGGTGTTCATAATCAATATTAAGCATTTTCATTTCAAATGTATCCCCTATTTCTACTTTAATAGTAAAATATTTAATTAATGTCCAAATAAATACAACTATACATTAAATTTGTTTGATTTTAAACACATTAACATCTCAAACGCCCTGTCACTCAACCTATCTTCTTAATCTTCTTATCTAGGCCTCTTGGATTTAAAATTTATAATAAATTTCTAAAGAGCTTTTCAACTGGGGCTGAAGATGGTAACGTAGTATTGGACAGTGGTCTAGGATTATTAGATCTTTTCCATCTTTCTTTTTGGAATTTAAGGAAGTTAGTCCTTGTGTACTGGCCAAGTTTTCACATCAAGACTGATTAGAACTTCCTGAACGTTGATGCACTTAGTTGAAAATTGATTTAAACCCTTAAATTATACTTTATTTATCCAGTTTTTTACTCTATTACAGGATTAGCAATTAATAATTAAAAGTTTGATAAAGATATACACATTGTGTAAAAAAAACCATACCAACAGAGTTCAGCTATTTAATTTTAATTTTAACTATAATACATACATAACAAAATTAATTTTTTTATTGAGTTAAAATTACAATGTTATACGTTTCAAAATTTTTAGCAGAAAAATTGTGCCTTCTATCACTCAATATGTCTTTAAATTTGGAAAATGTTCGTTCTACTTCAATAGCCTCATTTTATCAGCCTCATTTTGTAGCAAATGACGATTGCAGGCTGTTGTTCAACATTAATATTTTTCATACCATTTATGCAGTCGTTGTAATTTTTTTATGAGAGGGTAACCTGTGTTTTTTTCCACAACAGAGTTAAATTTGTGAGCCATAATTTGTCCTCTCTCGTTATATATTTTTTTAAGACTTTCTCCTATAGTTTCAAGTATTTCAATTTTGTTTATTGAGGAATAAATATCCCAATTTTTGGCATTTTAAAAATTTGTTTATACTTCTTTATGTAAATTATTTGTTATGAAACAATCACGATACCGACGTGAATTACACTAATCGATTCAAGAAACACTCAATCAAACAGAACTAAAGTGCTAATGGCTGGAGATTCCAAATTATTATCTAACTAGTAGTTGCTGTCATTTATTTTTACCACGAAACACTATTAAATTGATGTTATTCTAACAATATTATCAGCCCGTGTTCACTTTTTCTTTTTGTATAGTTGAAAACTGAAATATTTAGATATATTATTATAGTTTAATTTGTTCAGTGTTGTATGTCAAAACTCAAAGAATCAATACAATTTTGTTTAATAAATTACTTTAATTACTTTAATTTTACTCAATAAGTTGGTCAATTGTGTTTTTAAACATTTAAAACAAAAAAATAACCACAAACTCAAATGGTATTATATTTTACTATTTTACTGATCTTTACAATAATTTTGTTATGCTATGATCCATGAACATTAGTCGTTGAACAATGTTCAGTTGATCTAAAAAGATTAGCAAAATAATTGTTTAATTCTGTAATTACAGAGATAAATGATATCAATCACTTTCTTATTTTGGTTCATTATTAATTAGTATTAGTTAATAAAACTATTTGTGTGGGTCTTGAGAAGGCAGTTTAGGGAGTATTAAGGCACATTTATAACGATAGCACGCCAGCCAGTCCGCGCCTGTCAATGACGCATTTTATAGGGGCCAACAAATCCTTAGTTGTTATCGTAATATTTTCGTAAATGTTATTATTATTATTATTATTAATACGAAGCTGGGTGAATGTTTAGGATTTTAAATAATTTTGTGTTAAAGAATTCTAATGGCCAAATTTATAGACGGTACTTAGAAAAATCTTAGTATTATCTCAACTAAAACTAGAAATTGGTATTTATAAATCAGACTTCTGATATTTACTAAGAATTATCTTAGTTATATTTTAACTTAAATAAATCCTATGTTTTTGTATTTATAAATGGTACTTTGAATAATTTTAAGAAAAACTTGAGTAAAAATATAGAAATATCTAAGGTACCTACTAATCATGCTTAACAGTCACTCAACAGACACAAAATTAATAACTTGGTATAAAATAGTTACTTTTATACTATTAAATTGTTGTTCGATCTTTTATAAAAAGTTGATAATTTTGTTTAATTTATTTTTTACTATTTTAAAATGGATATTAACTATCTTGATTATCTTGATGATGACTTAAACTATGATTGGCTAGAACAAACTATTCGTGTTCCTAAACGATATATCCGTGATATGCAAAACTCTATTGAAGGGTAAGTAATTTTGAAATATTTTTTAATAATTGCCCTTTACAAATATTTATTAGTAAACATTACTAGATTTTCAGATTTGCAATTTTTCCAACGGTTTAGGTTTCCAAAATATATTGTGTTAGAAATAATTTTACCTATGATATACTTGGATAATATGGATTGCAATTTTGATAGACGTGGGTTAAAAATCGATAATATTACAAAAGTGTTAATTGCCCTACGTTTCTATGCAAGTGGAAATGACCAAGTATTTGCATGCAATTTAAATGAGTAATTATGGTAAGATAATTGTTAATTTTATTGTTTTATAGAGAGTCAATGGAGATACATTAGGATATTCACAAGCTTCGGTTTCTATTGTGGTTAAAGAAGTATCGGGATTACTAGCTAAATGTGGAAAAAAATGGATTCGATTTCCAAGAGCTCCAAATTTACAAGACACTAAGGAACAATTTTATTTAATTGGTGAATTTCCTGGTGTAATAGGAGCTATAGATTGTACACATGTCCCTATTAAAAGTCCAGGAGGCGACAACGCAGAAATTTATAGAAATCGAAAAGGATGGATGTCATTAAATGTTCAAATTGTTTGTGGTCCTAAAATGCAAATTTTTGACATAGTCTGTAGATGGCCAGGTTCAGTTCATGATAGTAGAATTTATAATAATAGTCGAGTGAAACTTCTAATTGAATCAAATGCTTTAGCTGGTAACATATTTATTTATATTTATATTTATTTTAATATTATCTAAATATTTGATATTGACTAGTAATAAATTCATATTATAATAAATTCATTATTGTCATAAATTATAGGCCATTTAATTGGAGACAGTGGTTACCCTCAGAGTAAATTTCTATACACACCTAAACTCAATCCATCAACTGCAGCAGAAAATAAATATAATAAATCACATATAAAAACCAGGAATGTTATTGAAAGAGTGAACGGAGTACTCAAAAGTCGATTTCGCTGTTTATGCAGAAAGCTCCGTACAAAACTTCAAACTTCAACTTTGATCATTGTTTCATGCGCTATACTTCATAATGTAGCATTAAGTCATAATTTAGATTTACAAATAGAAAATGAAGAAGAGAATGTCAGGTTACCCAGAAATGATGTATTAGCTGTACCAGACAATCGACTCGGGAACATTATAAAAGCAGCATTTATAGAAAGACATTTCACATGAATATACAAAAAATAAAAATAAAAACAAGTTTATTGTATATAAGTACATAACAATGTATATAAATGTATAAAATATAGTATTATAAAATAAACAGATCATAATTATAAATAAAAATAATAATAATATAGCATTTATTAGGAACTATTTTGTATTTTATTTTTAAGTAATAACAATAGAAAATGTATTA